ATCAGGCTTTGAGCGGTCCTCGACTCGATCGGAGAGATATGTTTTGATGCCGGGACTTCTTCAGTGCGACGTGAGTCACGCATTCTCGGGATAACGCATCTGTCCGCGTTCATGTCGTCCCATGGGCCATATACATGTGCCTATCGTGTTTGTCGCTCGTCAGGCGTTGGAAGCGGGGAGGAAAGCGACTTGGATTGGGTTTCGCAAGCGGCTATGTTCAAACTTGGTACCGTAGCTGAGCCTGCTGAGGTCACCCGAAATTCCATCCCATCCAATACCGGAAAATCTTGCCGTGATCCGATATTTCAAGCGGATGCAAATATATTTACACAACAAGGAAATGACCATTTCTCCAATAGGGGAAGGTCCAGTTTGCAAGAGAGGAAAGACTTACCTATCCAGTTGGCCCCTTTCCGATGCCTTTCCAATGCAAGCAAAAGGCGGGTTCTTTATTGTGTTGGATGGAGGCGAGGGGACTTAGAGAAGCCATTCAAGAATCGCAATACTTATCGGGTCCTCTCGGCGAGCCTGAAGGATGGAAGTCTGAAACTATGCAGCGTTACTGGTTCGCATTCAATGTGAAATTGGAATAACAGGGAGTCTTTTGAGGAGCCCGTTTGGAAAGGCTTGACGATTGAGGCCGAGCGGGCGGATCGGTCCCAATCACGCTGTAGACAATAACTCCCACGCGATTCGTAGTTGACTTACTATCTCCGCTGGACATCCATGTACTGTGTCAGAATCAATCACTCTAGCAAATTGAGATTGAACAGAGCTATATCACCCGGATTCATTTGATGCTATGCTACAAAATCTAGACAGCTCGATATAACATTAGTATTCCTCGGATGGTCTGGGAGGTGCAAAGTGAGGAATTCTCGGGATGCAACGTGGGAGCTACAGAGTCACGAAAAGCAGTATGAGCTGGGTACGTAGCGAACGGTTCACGTAGATGTGCAGTACGTACCGATTGGGAAATGCAGGATATGATTTACCATATGCATATCTACAAAAATCTCGAGTCACAACTTCCTTGTCACAGACAATGCTTTCACTTTACGAAAGTGTCCGTGCCAGATAAATCGGTAGTTGGCCTGGACTGTTACAGCGCACAAAATTCCTCTATCAACGCTCAAGCCGACGTAATAGGCTGAGCAAAGGACAGTAAGGTGAAGCAGACAGACCGGAATGGCGTCCCCTACAACGTTTCGTCGCACGAGCCAACCATGTTGTGTTACGAACTACTGCCGTTGCAGTTAGCCAAGCATGTTCTAGAGTTGGTATCAACATGGTAACGTACTGAGGATCCTTAGGGGGCATTATCGTGCTGTCACCGGCCGAGCGATGAGCATCGATTGCACATCAGAACTACGTTCACAATGGCGGAAAGGAGCCGCGTGGATGACCCTAAAGCAAAGACCGTCTCGATCCAGAGGCGGGGGCGTGAGTGATGCTATGGTCACCATCTACCTGACACGAGATGGTCTTTCAATCTTGCCCCTTCTGCTTTTCCTGCCCCTTTCTTAGGGCCGCCTTCACGCTTTTGATTGCATTCTCTCGTGCCTTGATTAGTCTTCTAGCTTTGGCGACGTCCAAGGACTCCTCCAGCGCAGTGTAATCCTGTGATTTCTTTGGCTGTGATTGCCCTATGCCACCAATCGCATTAGAGGAATCGTCTAAAGCTGCCAGATCTGCGCGGAGCGATGCGAGGATATCGTCCAAAGACGTGAGTGTCGAAAGTGCAGCAGTAATGTCGTCCTTGAGTCTAAAGGTCCGACACACCTCACGCGCGCATGTTTCGAAGTGGGTGAAGCGGACAGGCCCCAACATGACGCCTCCGTACCTAGAATTAGCACATGATCATGAATCATGTCATTGACAGACTAGAACTTGTAGCTTACCACCGGCTGACAACTACAACAGCGTCAATCACGCCCTCATTCTGCATCACTTTCAACACTTTCCCGCCGGCGTACCGTTCGCCATCATCATCACTGCCCGTATTCACCTCAAAATCATCTGGTCCACTCAGTCCGGTCTTTCCAGCCTTCAGGACCATACACCGCCATGCTGATACCTCGTGGCTCGCGGGCTTCGGGCCATGTACGACGTGTTTGACATAAGAGGCAGCTGCATGGGTTTCTTTGATTGTGGTGGCAGGATATATATTTGCTACGAAGGTGGAACCGCGATCACGAATCTCCTGCGAGGTCGCAACACTGGTATAAACTGCATGCTGTGACGATGAGAGTCCTAGAAACGAATCGAGAGTCGACCGTGACATGTGGCCACAACAAGGTCGCTATGCAAAGGCAAATACAGGTTGGACAATAACCTGTGATCGATCTCCACATACTAGCGCCTCCAGTGCCACTTGCTAGGCTATTAGAGAAGTAAAATAATGCAAGCTACGATTTTAATCTATGTAGTCAAGCAGTAATAATTTTTCGGATCTATTTTTATCCTAAGCTGCCGCGTTCGGAGCTACTGCATCGCTTGTGTCCACCACGGTCATTGTTCGTCCCGACGACCACTACGACTTCAACGACGGCTGCACCCGCTTTGCAGCACCAACGCTGGCTTCACTCCTTTTGAGCTCACCCATAGGATGTCCGAGATTGCTCAACTCGTCGACGAGGATGCCTCTCAGCGGGCGCTGGCGCCCGCTGCCGTTGGCACCCAGGTCGCCTTGATGAGTGTCGTTTCAGTGAGTAACGAAGCAGATGTGTCGCGAGGATAGTCTTACGATGCGACACGTACATTCAGCTAGCTACGATAATTGCGTTTAATATCCTTCGTCCGAGGAATAAGGTATGTGCACCAGGACAGTTCGCAGCTATTAGCTAACGTTATATGTAGATCATCTATGAGCCCAAGGTCAAGTATCATGTCGGGGATAAGAAACCTCCACGGATATCCGACTCATTATTTGGCTGGCTACCCCCACTGCTGCATACAAAAGAGCCAGAGCTGGTTGACAAGATTGGACTAGACGCTGCCATTTATCTGCGCTTCCTCCGCATGTTCCGCTGGATGTTCACCTGTATTGCGTTCATCGCATGTACAGTTCTTCTTCCCGCGGATATCGTGTACAATCTCCGTTATGTCAACAAGGGACAACGGGACATACTTTCGATGATGACCATTCGCAACGTTCAAGGGACGCTACTCTTCGTCCATGTCGTCGTCACGTATGCGATTACTGCCATCGTGATGGGTTTCGTCTGGGTTAACTGGCGCCATGTCGTCCGCCTCCGTGGCGAGTGGTTCCGATCACCCGAGTACATGCAGTCATTCTATGCACGCACCCTCATGGTCAGCAAGGTCCCACGGAAGTTCCAGTCCGACGAGGGCATCCGTGCGATCTTCCAGTCGGTACAGGTCCCATACCCCACAACCTCCGTGCACATCGGCCGCCGGGTCGGCCAGCTACCGGAACTGATCGAATACCATAATAGGACTGTCCGTGAGCTCGAGCACGTTCTGGTGAGATACCTGAAGGACGGGAGAATTGGTAAAAAACGGCCCGAGAAGAGACTGGGTGGATTCATGTGCTGTGGAGGGCAAAAGGTCGATGCAATTGATTACTACACGTGTGTTGTCCCAGTCGTACCCACATTACTTCGCCACTGATCGCTCCCAACTAGTGCGAAGCTGCAGCGCTGCGAGCAGGCGGTCGAGCAGTATAGGTCCCAGATTGATTTGCGTCGGCCGGAGATGTATGGCTTCGCATCTATGGCTGCGGTTCCATACGCGCATATCGTTGCGAACTTGCTAAGAGACAAGAATCCTAAGGGTAGCAACATCACGCTTGCTCCCAACCCTAAAGACATCGTACGTTCCTCATCAATTCCACAGGTAGAATCCCTGTGGAGACTGACATGCAAATCCCAATAGCTCTGGACTAATCTGAGTTTGACAAAGGCCGAGATGGCGCGGAACAGGACACTCGGATGGATGTTCCTCATTTTGGTTTGCTTCTTGAACACTATCCCGCTGTTCATCATCTCCATTCTTGCCAACTTAGCTAGTGTAAGTCTCAACATCTCCCGCTACCGCTTATATACCTACTCAATATACTAATACAGTTGACAACTTACGTAACCTTCTTGCAAGACTGGTCTTCTGCATCCCCTGGCACGTTCACGTTTGTTTCTGGTGTTCTGCCTCCGGCAGTGTCCGCACTCTTTGGCTACGCGTTGCCAATCATTATGCGCTGGTTGACAAAGTACATGGGTGCCAACACGCATTCGAGTCTTGACCGTGCGGTCATCGCTCGCTACTTTGCTTTCCTGGTCATCTCGCAGCTCATTATCTTCACATTGATCGGCGTCATCTTCAGTGAGTATCGCCATGTGCAAGAGTTGAAGTCGCTTAATATTGCTGGTAGACTCCGTCACCGAGATCGTGCAGCAAGTCGGCAAGCACGAAAGCTTCAAAGAAATCATACAGGATCTTCACAGTAGGTCGCATTATATTACGATAGTTTTGTCTCTAAGTATGATACGCGATCCAGCACTTCCAAGCACGATAAACCAGACATACATCGATCAGTCTTCCTATTGGTTGACGTATTTCCCGTACGTATTGTCTCCTGAAGATGGCTGTCCGCAGTTAGCTCAAAATACGCAGGCTTCGTGGATTCCTTGTTGTTTTCGATCTGGCTCAAGTCCTTAACTTGGTGGTTGTCTTTATCAAGAAACGGTTAGCATCCCTGGTTTCTCGTTCAAACCTGTAATTGGGAGTGACGTAGAATGTTTTCTCTGCAGTCTCTTCGGTAGAACGCCACGAGATATCCGAGAGTGGACACAGCCCCCAGATTTCCAGTACTCGATTTACTAGTAAGTTTTTCTCGATTTACTCTAAGACGTCGTCCTTACATTCCGGCCACTCCTTCTCAGCTCCAATCTGGTATGTTTAGGTAGCAAATGTTGACCCATTTTGCACTGTTGACGCAACCATACAGCTGTTCATGGGCACGGTCGGCTTGTTCTTTGCACCCCTCGCGCCGTTAGTTGCGGTTGCTGCTATGGTAGTGTTCTGGTTGAGCTCGCTTGTCTACAAGTATCAGCTCATGTTCGTCTATGTGTCGAGAGTGGAAACTGGTGGAGTAAGTCATGATATATGCATTTGAGAGCCTTTTTAATATGAACTCTTCTATAGCGTTTGTGGAACGTAGTCATCAACCGGTTGTTGGCATCAATCATCCTCATGCAGTTGATCATGGTATTGAGTATGGATGGTTCCACTTTTGAGATGTTGATGCATGCCTGAATCATGTCTTGCTGCAGCGATTGGTCTCCAGTATACGTTCAAGTCCTTATACTGGCTCTCGACTATTCCGCCCATCATATTTGTATTCGTTTTCAAGATCTATCTCAACCGAAAGTTCCTCCATGCCTTCCGGTATTACATTCCGACGGAAGAGGAGCTGCGCGAAGCTTCTGTTCATTCGCAACGTGCGGATACTGTTGGAAACAAGCTCGAAAAGAGATTTGGACACCCTGCTTTGAACGCGGAGCTGTTCACACCCATGGTGCATGCGAACATGACGCACTTGCTACAGGAGGTGTTCCAGGGCAAGATTGGCAGTACGAAGACACATCTTGACGATCTTGGCGGGAGCAGGGTTGATGCAACTGTGGTTGCCGGTGGGGTTAAGATTGCTGGTATCGATGAGGTGCGCCCAGGTTGCTCCCTTGCCTCCTTCATGTCTGCTGACTTCCACGTTCGTAGCGCGATCTGGCGTACGATCCCGCGCTGTACCAGCGCGACCGTGGGGAATTGGACTGGGACCAGCGCTCTATGTCATCTACCACCCTGCTCGGCGACAACGCATCAAAGGCCAACCTGTTCGCTGCCGCCGGCGGTCGCGACTCTCCCGACCCTTCAAAGCGTACGGGGTACGACCGCTACCTGGCCAAAGGCCCTCAGGCTGAGATCGAGATGACGCGGATGGACTACGATCAACAGCCCCTGCTAAATGCTGCTGTACGTTGCGCGCTGACACGGTTTTGACTGATGCTGATGCGTTGTGTCCCCGTCTGCACAGCAGGCACCAGGGTACTTTGATCCGAACCAGAGCATGGCCAGCTTCGCGCAGTATGGCATACCAGCTATGGACGAAGCTCCGCCCGTGCCGATGATTCCCGCAGCATATAGCCAGCAGTCACTAAACGAGGGGTACCGGGAGGCCCCTGTTCACCGACCGGGTCCCGGTCGTGAGGCTTCCTGGCGATGAAGTGCGCTGTGCGCACCTTGTCGATCGTCGTTTGGCGGTGTAGTTGTGTTGTTTTCGCTCGCGGCTCTATCGGGTTGATCTTTATTGCCTTCTATTTTCCTGTACTGATATCGTCCTATGCGTGCTAGAGTCGTTGGAGTGCGTTGCTGCATATAGGCCATACTACTGGGGTTTCTTTCGCGTATATGATGTTGGACACTGGCTTTGGACGTTGATAGTGGTACGAATAGACTAATCTGAACGCTGATATGTATGAACCAGTCGCTCTGCATTTTCTGGTGTTGTGCGGACCTCTATGCGCTAAAGAATAAAAGTGTGATGCTTAGCCCGTTAAAATCTATCCAGAACTAATACTTTGCGCGATGCCCTGATAAGGTATGTACTGTGCGATAGACCCCCCAAACGCTCAGAACTCAGTACGAGATGCCTACCGAATAAATATGCAATATAATGTACAATATATACTCGACGGAAACAATACCATATGCATGATTAAATACACTCGTCCTTCCAAGACAAAACGACAACCACTCACGCTCTATACAGCGGTTGTTACCTATGATCCCACAGTTGGGCTAGCACTGTTACACTCGGCCAACGCATCAGAGTACGTGCGGCGGGTCTCCCGCCAGATCGCAGCCCACTCCAAAAGTTCGTCCTGGAACAACCCCCCAAAGGCACCGAGCTTGTTCTTGATGTTCGTCTCCATGTCCCGCACCGAGACGACGATGACCCCGGAGTTGTCCATCTCGGCGAGGAACGGCTTCACGAGCGTGTAGTGCACGATGCGCATCTCGCGCTTGAGATCCGCCCACAGGTCCGGCTGGCGCATCTTGATCGCGAGGTTGGCGTTGTACGCGTATGGGAGGCGCAGGGCCTCCGCACCGTAGTAGTGGTTGAGGAACGCCTGCTCGGCCTCGTGCGCGTTGAAGGAGGCGGTCTCGATCTTGGCGAGCATGTCGAGGAACACGGCGCGCGAGGGCCGCAGAAAGAGCACGCCCGCGTTGAATCCGAGTGAGAAACCCATCTTGTCGATGTAGACGTCGGGAACGGCGCCAAAGTTGTACGGGAGGCTAAAGAGCTCATCAAAGTTGCGCAGCACGAGCGTGTCTGCATCAAGGTACACGAGACCCTGGATGCCCTCGTCCGCAAGTGTCCATATGTTGAGCTTGGAGAACTGGTCGAGGAAGTGCGAGTATATGCCCTTGCCGTTATGCGGAGGAGCGATGCGCGAGATGGCGCGTGGAACGAAGCCGGACGCTGCTGCGATGCACAGCGCGCGAGGCGAGATTTTGTCTGGAAGGTAAAAGACAATCCGTTGGGCGGTGCTGTTGACTCTCGTCAGCGAGTGTCCGAGCGCGGCGATGGCTGTTGCGTAAGAGTCGGTGTAAAGGGTGGTTACGATGGCATTGCGACTGGTCTCTGGCGGCTCGAGCGAGCGGGCGAATTCTTCGTTGAGAAGCGGGTGTGAGTTCCTACGACGGAAGCAGTCAGATAGTTGGGGAGACAGAAGCTGAGAGCCAGGATTGCGCCGAGATATAAGTACTCGATCAAAGAGACTACGGCGTGCGACGAATGCGTTGTGGGATCATCGCGGAAGCCACTGCGACTGTATGCAAGTGGAACATGGAAACTCACAGGTGTTGATAATTGTCGAGAGGTGTGGGCCATCTCCCCCACGACTTGTACAACAGAACGACGTTAAGGATCCCAGACAACACGATGACGGCGGAGGCTAGGACGGCATATCTGCGAACGGCGAGCTTCGAAGTCGAGATCTCGGGCCATATGGGCGTGTATTCTCGATACCGAGAAAAGATAGACATGAACGAGGAGGAGATGCGAGGACTCCTAAGACAGTCCTCTGCTCGATTGCCTAGGCCGGGACTGCGCGCAGTGCACTGCACTGTTTACTTATACTTAAATTTATTGAAGGCTAATTCCCAAAAGGGACGTCCTTAAGCGCGGCGACCGTGAGGCCGAAAGCTATCCGCCCAGTCGAAACCGTCACAGCCTGTTCAGTACTTCTATTTGACGGAACGTACACGAATTTCTAGACATTGGCTTTGATATGCGGCGACCCTCAGTGGTTACGACAGTTGTGCGACTGGGCTATCAATTCGATTTGCAGGTATGTGAGTATCACTAGTGTCCGGCTTGATGGGAGGCATATACTCATCGTGAAACCGAGCTTGGGGTCATAATCCAAATGCGATTGTGTCTCTGACAGTCGTCAGTACCTACTCTCAAGTCCCAGTGCTCAATACTCAATTTGCAGGTCCTAGGCTTCAGGTTGCTGATTTGTAGCCCGCCGTTTAACATCGTTAGTCCCTGCTCATCTTATGCAGTGCTCTGTCGGTACAAGAACGATATGCAAATTTCCGACGATGGCGCATGGGACAGCCACTGGGCAACATTTCTTTGATGTGATTGTTTCTGTGGCCCTAACTTATCTGGATACGATAAACCTTTGATGACACCACCATGGGAGATGCTCGACCATCCAGTCTAGCCCCTTGCGCACTGCGTATATACAATCAGCTTTTCGCGGTGTATGGGCCAATTACCCTGGGCGATCCCCAAGCGATCACCACGTCAGAAAATCATGACGACTGGAGTGGGATACTCACAGTCTTACCTCGAGCGTCGTAATTGATCTGTCTAGCTTACTACCCAGCGGTGCGAGATAACCCTTACTTACAATCTACACCTCGAGGATCTAACGATTGTATGTACTGAAACCGCGAGAATAGCATCATGATGCGCTCATTTTTTTCTCGACTCTAGATCATGCGGGCGGTTTTCTACGGCGTACGCACCATGCGGAGTCCGGACGCGCAAGCCGGCAATGGTTTTTGAAATGAATGGCATTGCAGCTTCCGGCAGTCACACAGTGTACATCGTGAGAGGGTGCAATTATCCGTGGAAAGGCGATATGTATATATACCCGTGGCCAACCTGGAATATGTGTTCATGCAGCGCGGTTCTCCGACGGCGTGGTATAAATGCTTTCATGAGATACATCTGCCCCAACACAACTGCACCAGCTAGACATGTCCCCTATGCACTCTGACGCTCATCGCTGGTAGCGACATTGTATGATCCCGCGACGTCAACCGTGTCATAGCGTTCGGGGGAGTCCGAGTCAGAATCAGGCGGCTGAGAGCATATACGCACGGGTCTCAGCATACAACAAGACTTCTCCTACAGCATTGTAAGTACTTCGCTCGCTTACCATAGTCTGGTTAAGCCGCAGCTGTGTCCGCTGCTACTTGGTATGCTTGACGCTACTGCCCACAGCCTGGAGCAGATGTCTCATCTTAAAATATCGATTTTGATCCGTTTGCTCGCTAGCAACGGAGTCGCTGTAGGTCTTGGTCTTGGTCTTGGGCAGCATTCTAGATGTGGTCTTGTCAGTCGGATGGACTCTTCGAAGACTTGCGATGCATTTCTACGTCGACAAGGACCCATGGTGCCCTTCTTACAGCAACCTTCAGGTTGTTAGCTGTGTCGAAACCTTAGGAGTCGTGATCAGGGTATCACGATGCTGCGGACTTGCGCGCCAATGCGGCCGGGAAGTCGGTCGCGCCAGCAGCTGCATGTTCGCCTTTTCATCCCGTCTCCCCGTCCTCCATGTTCCGCCTCTCTCGTTACAAGGACTACACACCGCTGTGGTACGACATCACGCCCCTCAAGCAAACAAGCCGCCGCAATGCTATTCGCATCCTCTCCGTCCTTGCTCTCATAGCAGTGTCCGTCTCTGCAAATATCTATCTAATCTACAAGATCGTCAAGCGGTGGCCTACTGCCCTTGACACCTACCAGCATCTGTACGTCCCGCACTTCACTCACTTCTGTGCTCACCAATGTGCAAAGAAATCCCTACCCTATTGTAAATGAAGAGTTCCTCCGTACACTCAGTTCCCCCTCACCCGATGAGAATGCTGTCGTGACCAGCATGTACACTGACTCGTACGCAACAGCAGTCGCCACTCTCGGCCATTCTCTCACCCGTGCAAACACCACCGCCCGCCGCCTCCTCTTCTATCTCCCTGACCACATCTCCCCGCAAGCGCTCTGCATCGCCTCTTCCACCGGCTTCGTCCCGTACCCAGTATCCCGCATTCCGCCCCCACACAACGGCGTCGGCACCCACGAACGATTCATGGATGCCTATTCCAAACTGAATATCTGGAAGCTTGGCGACGCAGGCATCAAGGCCGTCGTGCACCTCGACGCCGACACGCTCGTGCTACGCAACTTTGACGAACTCTTCTCCCTGCCCTACAGCTTCGCCGCCGTGCCCGACGTGTACGTCGGCTCGCACGGATTCACGCTCGACATGAACACGGGCGTGATCTTTGCCCGGCCCGACATGGGCATCTTCGACGACATGCTCCTCAAGATGCAAAGCGCGACGTACGATGGCATCCAGGCCGACCAGGCGTTCTTGAACGTCTATTTCGCGGCGGACGCGTTGCGCCTCCCGTATGCGTACAACGCCAACCTGGCTATCAAGAAGCGCAAGCCGGACCTGTGGGCGGACCTCCGGCCTCGTACGCGCATTGCGCACTACACGCTCGTGAAGCCGTTCGTCGCAGAAGAGGACAACACCGGGGTGCGTATTTTGAGGATGAATGAGCTGGAGGAGAACGTCATCAGGCGGATGAGCGAGTTTGACGGCGCGTTCGAGGAGGAGCTGATGGACTGGTTGAGGATATGGCGGGACACGTACAAGACATACGGCGACGCGCTGAGAGAATGCGTAGATGATGCAACTGGTGCCTCATAATGAGGTCAGTGTTACATGCCGTGCTTTGATCCCAGCTCTGCTTACTTCGTTCATGCTCAGACCACCTACAGTACGTCGCGCAAGATTATTATTCAGTATTTTGTTTGTGCACCACGGACGGCTCATGGCATCATTAATCTCTTCTGTTATTTATGCTTTCACGGTGGGTGTAGACGCGATAGATCTGGGCTATTATGTTTATTAGTGTACATGTATCCTCGCCGTAATCCTGTCTGTTCTACATGTAAATGGGAACTCTTTCTTGCAGGGTTTAGAGTTGTGTGCATCCATTTATAGAGTACCAGGGGAATACCGGGCTCCTGCCCATCCATCTACGGGAGGTAGAGAGACTTCATCTCGTCAACGGCATTTTGTGCTGAGTCCCATTATCCTTGTGTGCCACATGTCATGTGAACTTCACGTGCATGTTAAATCTCAGCAACCTTAATAAATAAGAGTGAGGAGTTTAAAACTGTCACGTGTTCACGTGATATGTGGCTGAAAAATTCGCTGGTGGGATGAAGTCCCTCTCCTCCCGTAGATGGATGGGCAGGAACCTGGGGGAATACAGGCTTCAGCCTGGTTGAGGATATGTCACGCTTGGTGCAGTGTGCACCATCTGACTGGTCTTCAATGTCATTGATGGACTGTCGGACTGTCTGCTCAAGGTTGAAGATACTACATCCAAACCACTTACTGGAGAGGTGGCCTCTCGGCACATGCAGCTGTTTTAAGTCTCGAGACCATGGGCTCTACGACCTGAGGTGTGAAGACGAACTGACTCAATGTCACTCACGTTTAACGCACGACGACTCAAAACGATCCATTATGCAAATACATGACATTACAGCAGACGCGGCCGTACCCGCGCCAATACCGGACTAAGTTAGCACACCACATTAGTCTCCGCATCTACAAAACTCCATGCTGGTACTTTTCGAGCAGAACACGACTAGGGCCTAAGATGGCGCATCGCGCAGGGCCGCCGCCCGCCTGCGCCAAAGCGCGCCCTCGTATGCCTTACACACCCACTTGACGAACCCGAGCCCAGTGCGGTCACCCGCGGCGAGCAGGCGGTGGTGTAGGATCTCCAGCTCCGAGAAGGTGAGCATTGGCGGCACGTGGTCGTCAGGGATATCAGTCGCACTCGTTAGCCGCACGAGCGGGCGGTGGATGCTGAGGATGGGGCGTGACGAGTAGAGCACGGGCTTCGCCTGGGTGGAGAGCACGCGCAGCGGCGGATAGTGTTCGGCGAATGTCCTGACGTGGTTTAGGGCTCGCTGCAAGCGGCCAGTGCTAGTGAGAATCAAGAACTAGTCAGTGCGTGTACAGTACGACCGATGCGATGGTGAACACTTACAGCGTAAGCATCCGGATCATGGCTGCGTTCGCCCGCTCGACCAGCCGCGCGTCCACACCTACCACCGTCGGGTCGTCCTGTGTGCGCTCGCCGCGTGTCCGCCACGCCTCCTCGACATTCTGCCAGCTGCCCCACACTTCCTCTGCGATCTTGAATGCCCGGGACCGCTCGCCGGGGGAGCATGTCGTACAGCGCTCCAGCGCATCGATATACGTCAGTGCATCGCGGGGAACGCCCAGGCTATTATGCAGTGTGCGATACAAGTGGCCCCAGACCTCAAGAGGAGAGTGGGCATAGTGTACGGAGAGATACGAGTTGATGAGTCGTGGCGTAATGACAACGTTACCAAATGGCCTTGGCACCGCGTCTGCGTCGTTTCCGGTCGTTCCAGTTTGCACCGCCTGGCGTTCCTCAATAACTCGCGCGAACAGAGCCCCCACCTCAGCGAGTAATTCGTTGCGCGTTTGAGGTGGCATGTAGGAGAACTGAGTACTTGACCTTGGGCTAGGTAGCTGCGCTGACGAAAAGTCCTCTTCTAGTTCGGCATCTGCAGCATCCGCCGGCTCAGTGGCAGTGGAACTCTCTACATGCACGTCATCCGTGCTCTGAACAACATTGCGTTCAGTCGTGTTCGACGTGCTGGTCGCCTCAGAGTCGACAAGTACGGTTGAAGATCGCCGGAAGGGCGGCTTGTACGTAGCATACGAATGGAAAACATGCCTCATGGCTGGCTCGTCCAGACCAGCACTTCGGGTCCTCAAGCCCGCCTTCGTGTCTTCCATGTTCTCTCTCACCATCTCCGCCAAAATCCACCGAGTGCGTCCGAGGTCCCGTATACGCTTCGCGCCATCCAGGAGCGTCTCAAAGAGTCGGTTGTCAGGGCGGAACGCGTTCAGCCCGCGCGCATCCCGGTGAGCGTCGAGCATCTCTTTCGCAAGACGGAAGGCACTGTGAATATAGCGCTCCTCACCACTACACACAAAGACCCGCGCGAGCGCAAGGTAGGCTTGCTGTGTCGGGGCCTGTCCGCGGTCGGTTGTCATCTCCGTGAACAGATCCATGGCACGCTCAGGCTCCGCAGGCATTCCTACAGATGAGCATGCGCGGATCATGGTACAGTAGAGCACTGCATCTGGGTCAGGATGCGCGGCATACCGCATGTGCGCGAAGAGATCGAACACGCGCGCACGTGCCTCGGCGGCGCGGTCCCGCACGTTCAGCAGCGCGTACATCACACGCGTGTAGGATTTCTGCGGAGGAGGTATGCCTTTGGTTTCGTAGCTGTGTAGAACGTCTAGCGCGTCGGTGGGAAAGGCGCGGAAAGGGAGTGCTTTGATATAAGCCTTGACGTGGAGGTCGCGCTGGCGTTCGGAAGGCGAAGTTGCGTAGGAAAACAGGACTCGTTCCGTGGCGGCGATGTTGCCATTTAGAGCATACATTGAAAGGACACTGTTGATGGCGTCTTCCAGAGACGTGACGCCCGATTGCTACTCAGGTCGTCAGCATAACACAACTGATTAAATGTCCCACCAACCTTCATCAAGCTGAGCACCGTCTCCGCTGCGGCACTGTCTTGTGCCGTGATCTACCAGAAATTATGTATACCGCTCCTGCAGAAATAGTGTATCCACTCACGCATGTGCGGATAAGCGAAAGCCACTCGTCGTTTGTTAAGATTCCTGTGGGAATATTGGATAGCGCTGCGTCGGCAGACAGGGATGGAGTGGAGATGCGGAAAGCGTCGAGGGATAAGCATATCTCCTGCAATCGCTCTACGACACCAAGATATGGATATTTTGCACCAGGAACCAAAGTCTCAATGTCGGATTCAAATAGACGACCGTAAACATCCAAGACCGCATTTCTGTCGTGCTCTTCCTGGACAGCAGGATCGACGGTTGACGACTCTTGCAATGCGACTGTAGTAGACTGCTTCAAGAGGTCTTCGTAGATCTCGAGTAGATCCTCTTCGGAGTACGTAAGTGTATCCACCAGTGGCTCCTGCATGGAAAATCGTTAGTAACAGAAGGGACAGGACGTAGGAGTAGACCAAAGGGGCGCGCCTGAGAACCAACAGCTTCTTGCAGCGACAACACTCTCTCCTCCAGCTCGGACAACAACCCACTTCTTGGACGTCCGCCCACATCTGTCGATGTAATCTCCCTATCCTTGCCTGGTTGTCTTTCACGACAGTATCAGTCGTTTAGCCGTCGTGATATCGAGACACCACTCACTCTCCATATAGAAACTGGTCGCTATGCAGATCCAACCCGTCCGGGTATGGGACCTGCGCTAGTGCAGCAGAAACCCCATGGCCGTGTCTTCGTGAAGCATACACAGCACAGAGTCGAGTCGTTCGTGGTACACGCGCATGTGAGCGCAGCGACGCCTGCACGAGTGTAAGGTCGAGGAGTGACGCCGGCAATCGAAAGGCAGACATGAGCCTGAAGGAGCAGACGTAGCGTCTGGAAGTATCAGTTCGAGCTGGCTTTGCCGGAGGTCACGAACAACAGTAGAACTACTACTTCGTACCCGGGATGTAAGTTGAGTACTTCGATACTAGCAGTACCGCCAAGCCTTGCGTTAGATGAATAACAAGACGACAGCGTCAAGCATATCATACACACCTCCCTCTCCGTCCTTAAGTCAATATCTATCCAAAAAGTCGCGTGAGTGCGCAAAGGATCTCGAGGAGAGCAAGCCGGAGGGAATTGAGTGAGATATGCACTGACAGCAAAACTCGGGCAATTTTTTGGGATAGCATACAAATCAAATCCGAAAGCTTGACGGAAAACATCACTTGTTAAGGTAAATGATACTTTACTATCTATTACATAACTCATGCCGGCGCGAGGCCCGAACCGCCCGATCGAGATGCTGTGAATAATTCACTGATACTACACTTAAACCTCGTAGTCGTTCTGGTCCTGACTCCGAGTCTTAACAAGACAATCGCATAGAGTTCAGAAGAGACCAACGGTCTTTTAGCAAGTGAGATTCCTCGTGTATCTTGACAACGTTGTGATGCCAATATAACCGCTAGCATTCATATCACGATATCGATCATGGCCGCTAAAGCCACTCGAAAGGTCCTTATGCTTCATGGGCAAGTCGCGGTGCTCATTCGCCATGATTAGTTGTCTGAGACATATGATGTATTGGAACATTCAGGTACGCGCAGAGCGCGACGATCTTCAGCAAACGGGTGAACGTCATGCTGCGATTTTTAGCGGAACGCTCAGGACTCATTCCGTCTGTCAGCTGGGTGCACTTCGCAAAGCATGTGCGAAAGACGTCGAATTCGGTGGGCACAGACGCGATACCAGGCTCATTCTATCAATGCTCATGGATCCCGTCGTTTGTCCTCGTGCATCTCGGCAGTTTTCGTTGACGCACCTTACCTGCTCACTCCGGTTGACATGGCCAACCTTAATTCAAATTTGAACAGCTCGACCCGAGATGATTTGGGGATAGAGGAATCCGCTGCTGTACAGGATCCTGCCCTTTCTCCTCGTGGTTGGTGGACGGTGCAAGGGAATCGCAATGTGACTATGGGTCTCGAAGAATCTCTCAGTACATTGCGAGATGTCTTGGCTAAAGGCAGATACGATGTATGCATATCTGCATGTGTTCATTGACCACGGGATTTCCCTGATCTTTCTGTGTCAGGGCGTATTTGGGTTCAGGTGCGTGATCGTTATTGTTGCGTGTCGGAAAATATCGTCCCTTATGTGCACGACTAGTCAAGGGGCAGCTATGGCTGTACTTCTGGCAGCACTGGTGCGTGTCAATTTCTCTGAGCCATCGATCAACATAAAGCGAGCGTAACATTTGCCAGCTTGAGAGACCCGAAGTTCATGCGCCGTTTCTCATCGATGGACAACCACCACATCCTCCTCTGTAGGTCCTGCTATCTTTTTTTCCCGTTTGTGTTCAACTTTGCTAATCCTTATTGACAGCCAATTCTGTGTGTCCGTAGCCAGCTTTCGTCCGCAGAGTCCGTTATGCGATAGCATATTATTACCCTCATTCTCCACCCCGACGCTATTTATCCTGGGGAAGACAGATGTCGTCGTCGTCGAAGAGCGCTCTAAGCGTGTCATCGATCTTTCGACCCACAAGCGCGTCGAGTATCACGATGGTGGTGCGTAATACTCATGTGCTGCTTGCATGAGTACGTCCAATATCTATTTACAGGTCACTTCGTGCCGTCCAAGGCACCATGGCGAAAATTCCTCCGCAGCTACATTCGGGACCCGACAGGAGATATAACTTCTCCGGGGCCCTCTGCGGTATCTGAAAATCCTTCGGAAACTTCGACTCCAATACAGTTCGAAGGTACGACGGCCGGTGCGACGTGACTATCGACGGAGATTCTGCGCAATAGAAGCGAAGTTGGCCTCACTACTTGTACCGCGGATCCGAGACCATGTGTCTTAGACGTTTGTTATTTACGCAAAATTTAACTCATCATGATAGAACTCCTCGCATCCCCGCCTTGTCTCCAATCTGGGCACATCATGAGCTGCTCATATCGGATCGTGCAGATCCAAACCAGTCTCGTGGATACTATTGATATCTCTAAGTACGTGCAATACGAGTAGAGCCTGCCAGTGAGGTAGCCTCAGATCAGTACTAGTACTAGAAGGTCAGCGAGAGATGGAACTTGGAAATGCTACTTAAAGTGATGACACTCCACGATCCGGTTTGTCTTACAGAGAGAGTTGTCGTTGTATTTTTAAGTTACGATGTCGAATGTTCAAATGCATCTCGAACTTCGTGCTACCGTAGATTGCATTGGTAGCAGAGCCACTCACGGCGGATGTGGCGACGCCGCGGTCCAGCCAGGGCATTTGTGGCGGCAATATCGCAGATAAACTAACCCTAAAATAGTAATCGAATGTTTATCGAGATTACTTTCTTCTTACATCAGCCACGAGTTTTGTCGTAAACAAACAGGTTTGGGGGACTAACAAGGTCCTTGACCTTGCTTTACGCGTTCCCCGACAAAGTCCAGCATTCGCCACGCGTTTCCTCCCTCTCATATGTCTTGGATTCCTCAGCAACCAGGGCTGCAGGAAATCTTGCAGACGATTCATGATTCGACTGATACATCGAACAACCAGACCCAGCGCAATATAACTCACGTATGTCCGGGACTCATTTTACAAAGTTCATTTCGTCTCATTAATGTGACTGTATCGGTCTGGATTTTTAGAAATTGAACAGTTTCACGCATGCGCCGGATTATATCGCGTATCTTGCCTACATCCTCGCGTCACTGCCGCAAGAGGAGGACCGGATCCGCACCATTGCCGGCTATTTGCTCAAGAACAATGCCCGCCTTATTCTCCGTTCGTCGCCAGAGGTTATCTCGTTTGTCAAGGCGGCAATTTTGCAGGCGTTCGGGGATCCTTCTGTCATGATTCGGAATACGGCTGGGCAAGACATTGTTGCCTTCCTCGGTATTCTTGAACCAAGAAACTGGCCGGAGTGTTTGCAGCAACTGGTGAACAACCTTGATCTGCCGGATATGGATCAGCAAGAGGTGAGCATATCAGTGGCTGAAGTGTCGTGCTCAGTACGAGCACTATATATCGCCGTGCTGGAGTGCTCTTGACGATTGGCGCGGATGACATGAAATCTGCTTGTACTGTTTCGTTTTGTTCGCGTTGAAAGCTTTAATCTCAGAGGAATATAGAATCGACCTCCTATGGTTTATTTCAGCGTCTGCATGTGACATCATCTAACAGTAGTGTGTTGTATTTAGGCGGCCTTCAATGTTTTGGAGAAAGCATGTGAAGATTACCCTCGCAAGTTGGATGTCGAAATTAGCGGGACATGGCCCCTGGAGTACATGATCCCGAAATTTCTGATGCTCTCGGAACATCCACGCTCCAAAATGCGTGCACACGCGATCGCGTGTTTGTCATATTTCGTCCCGATCAATTGCCAGTCGCTATTCGCCCACATCGATACATTCATCGCGTGCTTGTTCAAACGAGCATCGGACGAGGACCCTTCCGTGCGACGCCACGTTTGCCAGGCGCTAGTGTTACTTCTAGCATCGCGCCCGGAAAAGCTGATGCCCGAGATGGCGAATGTCGCGGAATATATGCTCTATTCGACAAAGGACAAGAACGAGAATGTTGCACTGGAGGCGTGCGAGTTCTGGTTAACTTTCGCGGAGGATCCTGAACTTGCGCCATACCTTCTCCCGCTTTTAAGCAAGGTGGCGCCGGTGCTATTGGATTGCATGGTGTATGGCGAGGACGATTTACTCTGGCTTGAGGGTGATGCGGAAGATGCGGCCGTACCAGACAAAGAAACGGACATCAAACCGCGACATTACGGGGGGAAGAGTCATGGTTTCGAACGTGAGGGAATTGAGGCTGATGGGTCGAAGCCCCGAGTCGGCGCGTACGGGGAGGAACTAGAAGATGACGACGACGAGAGTTTCGATGACATGGATGACGATGAGTTCGCAGACGAGATGTCGACCGAGTGGAATCTGAGAAAATGCGCCGCTGCCGCGTTAGACGTTCTTGCGGTCCGATTCGGGGCGGATCTGCTCAATGTGCTTCTTGAATCCCTCAAGATCAAACTCTGGAGTGATGATTGGCTTCAAAGAGAAAGTGGCATCTTGGCTTTGGGCGCAATGGCTGAAGGTAAGCGTGCGCTTTTACTTGCGATATATATGCTCATCGAAGACCGTGTAGGCTGCATTGATGCTGTCGAGCCACATCTACCAACACTTATTCCTTATCTTGTCAACATGTTGAATGATCCGAAGGTGCATACCTTTGCCACCTCTATGGACCAAGCTGACGTGTTCCCAGCCTCTTGTTCGATCGATCACATGCTGGACCTTGGGTCGATATGCGAGTTGGTGTACACAATCGTATGGTGACGATCACCGGAATCAATTCTTCATTCCCACTTTGGAAGGAGTAAGCTTTTGTGAGATACGCTGTCACTGCGTACGGGAATTGATGTTGGTTTGCAGCTTCTGCGCATGGTGCTCGACAATAACAAGCGGGTACAGGAAGCAGGATGTAGTGCATTCGCGACCCTGGAGGAAGATGCCGGAGCCGAACTTGCACCGTTCTTGGAACCGGTACTCCGCAACCTGGTATTCGCGTTCGACAAGTACCAGCATAAGAACATGCTCATTCTATATGATGCAATTGGTACCTTAGCTGATGCCGTAGGCGTGGCGCTTCAAAACCCGGCATATGTGGAGATTCTCATGCCCCCTCTCATAAAGAAATGGGGCAAGCTGAAGGACGACGACGAAGACTTGGTCCCTTTACTCGAGGTGAGCTCTTAGTGACTTCGTCAGCTTGATAAGACCTGAATACGCCGTATCATTCAGTGTCTTGCTTCGGTCACTATCGCCATGGGACCTTCGTTCCTTCCCTATGCCAGTCCAATCTTTGATCGGTGCACCAATCTCGTACACAACGCTCTCCTACAGTATCAGGCATTCCAGCAGAATCCTGACATGGATGAACCTGACAAGTCATTCCTCGTCGTAGCTCTTGATCTCCTGTCAGGCCTAACTCAAGGCCTTGGGATAGCGCTCGAACCGTCAATTACCAACTGTCAACCGAACCTTCTGTCATTACTAACTGTTTGTCTCAAGCACCCTCAAGCACCAGTCCGACAATCTGCGTACGCGCTCGTTGGCGATATGGCGATGAACTGCTTCCCTTTGTTGCGCCCTCACATGACCGCGGTCATGCAGGAACTCATTGAGCAGCTCGATCCTGAACCCAAAGTTGAATTTGTGAGTGCATGCAACAATGCAGCTTGGTCTGTGGGAGAGGTCGCGTTGCGTTATGGACGAGGTGAGCGGCTTGCCCAACGGCTCTTCCTGTTGTGGTTGTCTAATGTGGATGTAGATGAACCTGAATTCCAGCGCTGGGTGAACCCGTTGATATCCCGACTCGTCCCTATACTCCTCCATCCCAAGGCGCCTCGTAGTTTGCATGAAAATGCCGCGGTATCAATAGGACGCATTGGCTTAATGCATCCTGCTATGGTCGCACCACTCTTGCCAGAATTCGCTCAGGCATGGTGTCAGGCTCTGTACGAGATCCGAGATAACGAGGAGAAGGATTCTGCATTCCGTGGTCTCTGCACGCTAGTTCAGACCAACCCTGCGGGTATCATGAAGGTACGTGCTCCGTGGTCAGATTTCACCGTGCGGCATACTAATGGTCTCGATAGAGCCTCCTGTGGTTCTGCAATGCCATCGTTCGATGGAATCACCCTTCACCGGAGCTCAACTCAATGTTTCAGCAGCTTCTCAACGGGTTCAAGCAACATGACACGGTTGGATGGGCAGCCCAAGTTGCAACCTTCCCACCAACTATCCAGGAACGGTTGGCACAACGATACGGTGTATAGAATAGAGGCATACTTGAATACGTTCTTGATATTGCCTGCAGTCTGTTTGTGTACGCATAGTGTTTCGTCAAAGTATCATTGCTCTCGGCCCCGTGCTGAATCCATCTCCCTATCTCTGCATTTGGATCTTTTACGTAGTGTAGTCTTTCATCATTTTCCACATCGCTCTTTTTTAAGCTTGGTCATGCCTTTATGTTCCCCATGCCGCAGTTATCCAAGTAGTGCAATTGTAGAGTTTTGCGATTGGACTTCTCGCTTTGAACCCCGATAAGTTGCATTTGACGGCGGCATGAGCTGGTGCGTCGCACACTTCCATAGCAGTTCGTACAAATTCAGTATCCTTACATAGCATCAGCGAAGTGTTACTCGCATCAGTAGCAAATGTAGCATATGTACTGATTTTAGTCTCAATAAATGGTGTATCTGATGACAGTCTCATGAAAATGATGAAATACGATCCTACTTGAGGCCATGTGACACCCTGCGAGTCCTCAGGCCTCAAGTCGGCCACTGGCAGTTAGAACGGCAGAAAACAAAGATACATGCATTAGAAGCGACCCGACTGCAAGTACCATTTGAAAGCCTCCAGACACGTCAGTATTTTCTGCCTGTTCTTGGCTAGACGCATCCCAAGACTCTTGAGTTTAGGGAGCACGAGAACATATCTAGAAACGCGAATTGGATTCTGAGGATACGAGCCTGACTAGACCGAGACTCGACTCAATTCACGAGAAACCGGTATTTTGTTAAATATTGAATCCGTACCTACCATTGTAATAGCGTAGAAAGGTGCGGGGTAAGGTGCAGCGATTCTTGGTCTTCATCGCGTACGGATGGCTTCGGCAATGACCTGCGGCTCTGGGCTCTTCATACCAGTTAAACGTTTGTCCTTCTGCACAAGAAGAATTTTGTCGTCGTTGTTCACCACGCATATATCTGCATGCGCCGAGCGGTTTTCTCTGTAGATGAGAGATGGAAGTGTTCGACAGACGACAATCATTCTGTCTTCGTGAGCGTATCCAAGTTTTACTGATAGCTCCGCCAAAAAATTGACGACAGACTCCTGTCCCGCTTTGGGATTGAGTGTGAGAACTAGATAGTAAAGGAGCTCCCAGATTGCGCTATTGGTAGCATCCATTGGATCTTTGATAGTCATGAATCCAGCGAGAGCAGGGTTGTTTAAGTCATTGGTCCCAGAAGAATCGCTCTTCAATTTGTTGAACAAACGCGTATGTTGTAGGAGAGCTCGTGTTGAGTCCAGTCAGTGTGACCGCACTCGACGGACTGGGATCAAGTCGGCCATAGTTTCTACGAGGTTGAACTTGGCCTCAAGTGATTGCACAATTGAAAAACTTACTCGTGGCAATCGTCACAGGGCAATGTTGACCAGACGAGAACGGACAACCGTTGGGGAAATGAGGAAGGTAGAGATGAAGCCTCGCAGGATGATGAGTCACCCAACGGCGAGGGGATGTCGACTAGTCGTGAATCAGATCGATGCAGCGTCGCCATGAAATAGAGGTCAAGTGTCCTTATCGGAAGACTAGGTAACCTGGGACCAACCAGGACCTCTGACAATAAAGATGTCAAGTCCGGCTTACGATAGCATGCGTGTACTTACTGTACTGGCTTCATGACTCAGGTCTGTCTCAAGATAACGCGGCGCATCGTCAATGAGCAAGTTGGCGCGCCTAATAATAATTTCCTTCCCGTGTGTCCAGCGACGCACATATTCATACTTATGAATCAGCATTTTTTTCGTCTTTCGAAGTTGCTCGCTCGATGCTCTAGTACATCATCACTGCATGCCGAGTTGAACACGTAGTCTCATAGCCTCATACCAGATCTCTCCATGTAGAGAGGGATCTGGGTCCGCCTCAACCGAAAATACCAAGTCGGGCACTTCTCGCTTTGAGATTGTTCAAGTCTTAGCTCCGTCATGGATTGGCTCGAGTAGGTGACGAGATACAGAGGAGATTAACCATCGTTATATGACTGTTGACTATCTTACCGGTATCGAGTGGGAAGGGGGATCATTCAAATCCATCGTTCATAGCAATATGCAACACGGCGACTGGAATATAGAAGAAGCCGCTCCGTGGACACAGAGAAGAACAACCGGCAAAAAGAGGAACGCCGTGCGAGACAAAAAGGAAGCATATAGAGGATGAAAGACAAGTTGATAAAGAGGGAGCAACCAATAGCCCAATAGTCCGCGATTATATGTAGGATGTCAGCTCACCAAGCTAGCTATGTTCTCCCACAGGTATATACCCATGAAAAGGGGAGAACAACTCTAACGAGGCGAGGGTATGCGGATCCGAGACCGACTTTTCTCCATCCAAAGTGTTGTTTTATAAGGGATATCGCGTAGGTGGGCTTCGATCCAAAATCAAAAAGAGGTAGAAGCGAGTGGTCATAGGCGGGTGGTGTTCACAGGCAAGTGGAGGGACAGGGTATCCAGAGAGCCAAAAGATCGTATGGCAACGAACGAGCGACGGTGGGCTCCTTTAATGTGATATCTAGTTTGTGAGCGCCACACCTTCCTTAGTTTCCGCAGGTGTAATGATCAGGTCAATAGGCTCCTCCTTCACATCTTGACCTTCCGTCTCCATCTGATCATCCTCCATATGCGGCTCCACCGCGCTTACAGGTCCCGACGAAAGAGGTCCGTTACCACTGGCAGAACGACGAGGACCTGAGCCACCTTGGGGACCAGATCGCGGCGGGTTGGCGCAACGGTCCTTGCCGTGGGCAATTCGCAAATTGGCATAGTCCGGCTTGTTCTTAACCCCTTCAATCGCCTTGATGGCGTTAGAAATGTTGGTGAAATTGACAAACGCGCAGTTCCTGCCGCATCCTCATCAGTACCACGCACTGCGATGAGCATGCCAAGTACTTACTTCTCTTTCAAGAAATTAACCAATTCGATCTCACCGAACTCACAGAAGTCCCTCTTCAGTTTCTCCTCGTTGAAGGTATCAAAGTCCTCGATGTTGCCAATATAAACATTCCGCGTGGCTCCTGAGTGCACAGCCAGAGCGAGCGCCGGTTGCAAAGGGCCAGAGTTCTTGCCCCAGCCAACCTTCAGTCGACGGTTGTTCAGAGTCAAGCCCTGGTACGAGGCCACTTGGAAGAATGTCAGCGCAGCCGCAGGGTCAATAAACGTCACGAACTGCAGAAGCAAACATGTGATCAAAATCGACACACGATGAGCACAACGCGACCGCACTTACGGCGATATGCTTGTCTTGCATGTACCGCAAGCTCTGCAGAACACCACCACGAATGGCATTGCAGAGATCTTCAGCAGTGGTTTCCGGATGGATGTTACCGAGGTATACGGTGCGGTTGAGGCCTTGACCACCAGCCATGCTTGTGAGTGCGTCTTGCGCAAACGGCATATAAGGAGTCATCGGGGAAGCAAAGCTCGGACCATTGGTATTGAGAGGCGACAAAGAAGCAGCAGCGGACTGAGCGACCAGTGACTGAGCAGCAGCAGCCTGAGCAGCCTGAGCGGCGGCTTGTTGGGACTTGGGGATATAGGCACATCGGTCCTTGCCGTAATTGACGCGCTTGCCCGCCCATGCGGGCTCAGTCGGAAGGGTATTGACTACCTTCATGATGATAAGGAAACATAGAATCAGCATCGCAATTCGATATGGGTAAAAATTACGAACCTTGGTGGCGACAGAAATGGAAAGGAAATGCACGAAGCCGATGTTCTTATCGCGTACGATCTTGACTTGGTCGATCAGGCCAAAGCGGCTCAAGTCGTCGCGAAGCTGTTCCTCGGTGACGGTCTCGTCGAGTCCACCCAAGTACACGTTCCTGCTAGCGTTGCTCTGCTGGATGGCGAGCGCCACCTGGCTGGGTACTGCGGAGGGTTTACCCCAGCCGATCTTCAGTTCTTGGCCATGCAGCGATAGCTTCTTGATCAGCGCATCCGCGTGGAACGCTGCAGCTGTAGCGCCATCCAGGAACGACAAAAACACACATGACTTCTCGGGCAGCACTCGAATGGACTCGAGTGGCCCAAAGTGCACCAGGTTCAGCAACTCGTCAACCGATGCTGTTGGGGGCACATTGCCAACATACACTGTCCGACCCGTTGCATTGTTTTGTGCAGAGAGCGCTGCAGTCAGGGCAGCAGGCGAGTATGGTCCTGCCTGCGCCCCCATCGGAATTTGCAGTGATGGCAGTCGAGGTTGGCCCAAGTTCTATATAACCTTCAACCAACAGCGAATACAACAAGTCGAGTAACAACTCACCTGCGCGAAATTCGCCATTTGCGCGTTGTACGGGAAGCCACCAAGCATCCCCATCCCCATCGCTGGAAGGCCCATTCCAAGCATGTTGTAGCCGTTGAATCCACCGTAAGCACCGTTAGCATTCAGATTGTTCCCGTTGGCCGACTGTGGCGGCTGCTGTTGCTGTGGCGTGAACGGGCCAGCGGTGTTTGGGCTCATTTGCGACTGCACCCCATTGGTACCCGTTGCTGTGTTGATGGTCAGTTGCGGCGTCGAGTAGAGCGCATTGCCACCGAATCCAGTAGACGGGGGAGAGTTGTTGAACCCAGACTGGACCATGCTCGCACCAGGACCGTAGCCGTAGTTTGCAAACGCCTCGCGGTTTGCAGTTGGAGGGAGGCCGCCCGCTCCGTTGGACGCGCCGAATGAAGTCGGAGACCAGCGAGCCTTTTTTGCATCAGGACCACCTACAGCGTCCATGGACCTCTAGAGAACGGATTTAAACGCGGGTGCTCCCGCAGAGCAGTGCAAGTAAGACCGCACCTTCATCATCTCGAAATCGAAACCGTAACCAGGGTATTGTGCGACGAAAGCTGTCTGCGAGTCGTCCATGTCGCGATAAGGGGGTTACGATGAATGAATGGAGGAGGTAGGTAACGGAGAAAAATGATAGAAGGCAAGTTAGAGAGTGTGGGGGGCGCAAAAAGCGGATCAGGTCGCGAGGAAAAGAGCGTGATGGAGTTGGTGTTTTAGAAAAAGACACGCACAAAAAGAGGGCGGTGGGGGCGATATATAGGATTATTTAAAGAGAAAGCTCTTGAATTCACGGCTGCCCACCCACGAAAAGGAAGACGAGGGACAACGGGCAGGGCGACAGCGAAAACGAGAATCGAAGAACAGAAACAAGCTGACTGAACCCTCTCACTTCGAGATCGAAACCGGATTATTTTGTTCCCACAGCTTCGGCTATCAGCGCACGGACCACCCCATTTCTAACTAAAGACATTCTGAGACAGCGGAAATGAAATTTCGTGGCATGTAATCATACAAAATGAGGTACGAAGAATATCGGAATGGCCGAGGCAGACATCATAGCTTGGCCAAATGTGCACCATCGCCGGATGTCGCAGGAACATGCGCGAGAATCCAAGAGACACACTCGTCCCAAAACTTCTCCTTCATGCCGTTCGGCTCATTCGTGAGCTCGTGATAACCGCCCTAGAAAATGAAACGTTGAGCGAGGAAGAACACCGCTCAAATTCTCCCATGCGAAGACTTCCATGAAACAGGAACGGCGGGACAAACAGTCCTAGACCTAGACTCCTGATACGCCGACGATATCGAACCCTCCTGCGGCAGAGCCGAACTCCCAAGAGATGCACAAGGTTATCTCGATATCCATCCTACCTGGTACTAGCGGACAATTCAGACAAAACGTGGCATATTTCGACAATCGAGCGACCGCCGGAACGCCATTGAAGCGCGGTAACAGTCTGTCACCAAGACACCAGACTTCTCGATACATTGATGAACCCGTCACCATGAACAAACTGACGACGCTTCGGGCCGCAGGACATAGCAAATGAAGTTCTTACCGGGAACAGAGCAAGCTTCTTGTCTTCGGCATCAAGCTTGTTAAAGAACTGTTCGGATGCTGTATGCGACGTGACCTGCGAGCACACGGAGGGCCGAGTTGCGCGCCGGATCAGCAATAATGCACAAAGTTCATATTCCGGATAAGTCAGCGACTCGCCTTGTCATCGGTCCCATGTATTATAAGGAGCTGTTGCAGGATTCAAAATGATGATTGCATGACTGGCAAAAACACTAACAGAAAGATTCTCGGGCCAGTGGTGGTATCCGCTGCGAAGCAGATTTTCGCCCTTCGGAGTGAGATCAATCGATTATTCTATTTGACAGTATAATGATCACTCACTCTTTCAAGCATGTCGGTTAGGCCGCGGAATGTGCCATACGACTTGATGAGCGGGTCCAATTCACTGGCCCGATTGACGATAGCATCGTGCGATAGGTCCTGTGGACAATTGAGTCTCATACCACGAAACTCACGCAAAAGGCACACGAAAACTAAACACACCTCGGCAGGGACTCGTGCAGGAAAGGGAAGCCAGGGAATGATCGTGGCTGCCATCCCTCCCGCTTTCCGTAAAAGCTTTGAAGCAGGAACAGTTTGCAGTAGGAGAGGACTCGATGCAATCACTCCGGACAGCAACTTGATGGTCTCCGATGACGGTGGCGGCTGCGCTTGCGTAGAGAATGCGAGGACCATCCCGCCGCCCTGGGAAACAAGCATGAACGCGCAGATAATTGAATTAAGTAGTAAGACCCACCATCGAATGCCCAAATAAAAACAAGGGCAGGTTGGGATGCTCCTTCTTCACATGGCGCACCCACCACTCAATATCCTGCATCTGCATCTGGTGTGATGCCTTTCCGTACACAGCATCCTTGCTCTTGTGCTGGTTGTCTAGGGCCGTCCTTCCAAAGCCCCGCTGGTCGAACGCGAACACCATGATATCCCTTGCCGCCCAATTGCAATGCGCATGCTCATATCGTCCTACGTGGTCCGCGAAGCCATGTACGAAGAGAACTGCTGCGCGTGGAGCGCTCGCTGCAGTGTAGGTGCGAGTGTAGAACTGGTGGTCGCCTGGGCCGGCGATCCAAGCCTCGCTATATGCGGAGGAAGAATCCGACATACTGTAATTGGATCTTGGAATTTGCAGAGACAGACAAGTGCGTAACAGAAAGTATTTATGAGTCTGCAAGGACAGCAGGGGCGCCTGGCAGTGCGTGCCGACTGGACAACGTTTGTTTCTATCCAAGTGATCCAAGTGACTTCTCACTGGCGTGGGCTATCTCGAGACAAGCTCAACGCCAGCAATTGCCAAATTCCGGTAGAATGTCGGATACGAGTAAGTGTGGCTTCAACCTGATTACAACAGATTGTTCAGTTGTGGTTTTGATTCCAGTTCCAGCAAGTCGAGTAGACCAGAATCCTATAGCTAGTGCCAGTGAGGAATGGTAGTCGTGCCAGTTTAGGTCAAAGCCGCATAGTGACTGCCAATGATGGACATAACCTCAGGCTAGGGTTGCGTTGAGCCGCGGCCCGTCGAATCAATCGTGCCAATATGCAATTATGTAAGCAGTACATAAATGAAGATTTCTACGTGTTGATATTCATATCCACAGTAGGGTTGGTGGTACAGGCTGTTTCAATTCCAATATTTTACAGCATACAGTCCAAGAACTGCGTTCGCAAGCGTCGGAGAATATGACAGCACGTCCGAATCGGTATAGGCCTTGTCGCTCTGGACGCCGTTGAGAATCTCGAGTAGTTGGGTTTCGATGAAGTTTATGAAAACGAGATCGACGAGCGTGTCGTTCGATACGCTTGGAGGGTTGGACGAGATGAAGTCTGGACTGGAGTAGTATGGCTATCGAAGGTGCGTATCAGCTGTGCATGATGATTAGCGTCGGGTAATTGACTCACCACTGGAATATGGGGAGTGTCGTCACCGACACCAGGGCACAGCTATGGTGAAGCAAGTTGGCACTTGTGATAAATCAGAAAATCCGAGTAAGACTCACGTCTTGCGTCACGTAGCCCAGATTCAAATTTTCCGTCGTCTCTCTTCTCTCCATGTGCCGCTCGTTCATTTCCTCGAGCCACGCATTATAGCGCATGGAGACGTCGCCCATTGCATATTTTTCCATCTCACGTTCCATGTACTCAAGCGATCGTTTTTCATCAGCACCCGCTTTGTTGAGCGCGGGGAGGACCAGGCTTGCGACAGAAAATGTAATATTCGGAATGTAGAGGAACGAGTCCGTGAACGGCGCAGCAGTGAGCTGGTCGTTCTTTGTAAACGAACCACTCAGAACATCGAAGCGTAACTCCCCAGAGTTGACAATCATGATGTTTGGAACCAAGATGCGAGAGCTGTTGATCGTCAGTGCATATGGCATTGCCTATGGCACAATTCATAATATTAGCCAATGGAAGACAAAATTACTGTCCGACTTAGTATCTTACCTCGGCAACGTATAATGTCAACACAGAGCCGTTCGACGGATACGGGTTGCTAGATGATCATAAGCACAACAAATCATAGAGACATTTCCACAAGTACGTACCGAGACAGCGTGTAATCTTGTGGCGCATATCCGAATAGATAGCTGAGGTCATAATCCACGGCCAGCTCAAGAAGCCCTTGGGTGATTCCTTGGCCTGCCGCAGTGTCATATGTGAAGTTACTCCTGCCGGTGTGATACTGTTGAAGCGCGTCATTGAATGCAGTGGATGATAATTAATCGTGAAAAACCTCGTAAGTAACCCGGTTAGCATCCAAGTATCGGCGAGTAAAAGTGATGTTGTGATCCTTGGGAACGTCGAGATTGGCACCTACACGAATGGTCAGCGCTCAATCGATAAATGTAAGAGGGTTTTTCGTACTCATCCAGCCTACAGAGCGCGAGTCAATCAACACAGCGATGCGAGCGGCTGACTGAATGTTCTCGACATACCAACAGTTTCCATGTATCGACCACTCTCAAGGGCCATGGATCGCCCGTCGAATTGAGCTTTTGATACATCAGATACATGTCTAATAATCAGAGAGGAAGAAAACATACTGCAATCACGAATATGAGTGTGGCCTATATGCATCTGTTACTTATGAATCGCAGGTTCTTCAACAGTACGTACCACCAAAAATGAGAATGGGCGTCGTCGGGTGCACCGCGCGAACCGCATCGTAGACGGTGGGCCCTGCATCAAGAGTCAGCATGCGACAAGTCCAAATCATAAATGGACTGACAGTTATCGTAGCGAACAGGCATGTGGCTACATGAATTAGTAGATTTCATTTCCCGAGGAAAAAGTAGGCTATAGCGCACCCGAGTAGGACAAATACGTCTGGCTCTTCCGCAATTGCCTCGGCAAACTTGAAGATAAAACACTAGTTTAGGCAATAGTACAAATATTAATGGATCAAACGCACCCATTCTTCCTTTACCATATCGGCCACCGTCTGCACGGTAGTGTTGACATCGTTGCCTGTGAAGTCGTACAGAACACCCAACGAGGTAATAGAGCGTCCTCTGCGGCATTAAATCAATCTCATGACTACGACAACAGAAGATAGACACACTTCCGCGTCTTGAACTTGGTGTAACGGCCTATAGGAGGAAAATGAGACAACAGTACGTCGGCTATCACTGTGAGGGTACGCACTTCCTACAGGAACACTAATAGTATTGTTGTTTCCGTCGAATACGGTGATGTTCACGTTGGATGACAAATAACGTCCGTTCCAATGGGGTGCGAAGTTAGTGTACATGTCATACGTGTTTGCGTAGTCGTACAACTCGTGGCTGCACAAACTACGTCAACTCGGAACCGAGACGGAAATCTCAAACACGCACTTGCCGATCGCCAAGACATCGTAAGGTAGTTCCATGATGAATTGGTTGGTCTGGTTTGAATGGGAGATGTCAGCGACATTCAACATTGGTTGCAAGAAACACAGCGCGTGCCTCATGTCCATCAACTTGACCTGGAGGAAACCCGTCCGAAAGTCCGGTCCCTGTGAACACAAACGATCAGACCGATCAATTATGGGAAAGCAGATTGTTGATCACCATCATGTAGATCGCCCGTGTCTACCAAGAGGAGATCGACATCTTTTTCCTACAACTGGATATAGTGACTTGCGCCACGGATGAGAGGAGGCATACCAAGGCGATCTGTTTCATATGTGTAACGAACGACGCGAAGTCTCCGAAATCGCCACTATTACGCAGAACAATGAGTAAGTGAGTGTTTGGGACGATAGTAGGCAAACCTGTAATTGGGTTCCGGGAAGGATAAGTGCTGATGACCTAGCAGCCACCCGTGACTATCGGTTGTGTGGATGATGCTATATGCAATGTCTGGTATAAAGCCGAGTCGTCTTTCATAGCGGAAAACCTACGCACTTGAAATCACTCCATTCTAACGGCCGACTTGGAGGCGTCAGAGGCACCTGGGGGTACAAGCGCTTGCTATGTTCATGGACATGATCGTGCTCCTCAGGACATGCGAGAACCGACGAAATTGCAGCCAAGGCAGTCAAGACCGTGAACGCGTGCTGCATCCTATGAACAGACACCAGAGTGGTCAGGGTGATTGATCCATTGCGCGCCTGCCCGACTTTATACTATGCGACCAATATTTCCACTGATTGGATGAGAAGCTCAAGAAGTCTTGGCATGAGTGTCTCCTGAACTCTCCGCGTGGTCCTGATGATTTGAATTTCTAGCGCTGACGGCTATCTCATACTCGTTGCCCCACGTGTAGAGGGTCTTAGAAGGAAAGCAGCCCATAAGGCCGATGGATAGCTGGTTGTGAGGAACGTGCGTGAGTCAATACTGAGGCCTGAGGCCTGAGGATCCATGTGGCACTGACATGGGAGAGATGCGACCACGAACGTCGATTCCTTGGACATTCTCCCCCATCGTGACACATGCCACCGAAAGAGACTGACGTGAGTCAGCGCTTCCAACAAACCACGCGGTTAGATTGCAATCTGCAAATACTGTATCTGCTCCGAGCCGTCCGCTAACCCAATGATACCCGATTGCTAAAGCTCGACCAATGCACAACAGGTTCTGTAAGCAGAACGGCAGAGGCAACTTGAGATTTCCATTTTGAAAATCTGATGTCAAACTTTGACACCAGTGGAATCCGCACATTTCCATCGTCGTCGGAGATGGAGGTCTTGTGAGAATCAATGCATATGGGTGAACAAATACTTAGGTATGCGTATCTGAGACATGTATCATAGCTGTCCTATCCGCTGTTGCATCTTCTCTTTGACCGTTATGTATGCGTTCATAATTGTCTGCTCGTTGATGACGATATCCGTCGCGTCGGCCCTCGGTCTACTCACCCGCGATGCAATGGCAGTCGGATCCGTTTCCACCATGACGCTGTCGCACGCGCGAATCAGCTAGCCATGAAAACATCGTATACTGTTTCACACTCACCCGTCGTCAAAAATCTCATCCAAGCACAGCAGCACCAGATCGAGATTCTCTAGCACACCTCTCTTCTCTACCTGGCGCCGAAGGAGAAGGTGTACAGCATCGCAGAAGGCCGTGAGGGCGGAATGCACCATGAGTTCATTCTCGGACGGGTCAGCAATGAGACAGAAGATGAGATCCAATGAGTGTTTGTAAACTACTAAATGGGAGTCGTAGAGAATGATGTCCCCTGTGAGATGAGAGCTAGCAATTGAATGACAACGTAGTATAGTAGATACATGAGCCAGTGGCGCACCTCCCGCTCTCTTCGTTTTTTGATAGAGCCCTTTCTCAAATGCTCGTTGTTCTTTCAAGTAGCGTAACTTCTGGGACTCGGCATGAGGGTGGCTTTTGGGATGGTAATACTTAGCGATGACACGGTGACCATCTGTGTCCATGATCAGAAACCCAGTAATCGTGTATAGCGACAAATTCATGGTTGGAAATATATACTGTTGAGATGGTACGGTCGCTTCGCCGAGTATTGTCGTAGAACCGGTAGACTGGACAGCTACTAAGTGTGAGGTAACCTGACCACAAGTTACTTAGATTACGCTGATTTAGTTACATATACTTTAGTAGCGTGTCCTTGGGTATTCTTTTTGACACCATAGCATATTTTACTATAGCCTTTCATTTTTGCGATCGCAATATCGCAGTGTCGGTCTCTCCTTATTCCCCTGCATCGTTGACGATTAAGAGGTTGTTATTATCAGGATAAAAGTCCGGACCTGCATGCCAACGAGTTTGGAACACTTTCTCAGTTCTGATGCAGCCATTGCCATCCTAATCCCACTAACATTATTCATTATCAGTGCCTGTCTGCACCGACCATCTTTCGCTGAATTGTACAGCCTCCTCTCCGAAATTGTATACGGCAAGCATGTCGCGTTACCCCACCCCTTTTCTCTTCAGCATGCGGCAGTATCATTCGGCCAATATGCTCAGATGTCAAATAGGGAACTGTCGAAGATGCGTGCATCATACGGGCGACTTATTCGAACACACAAATGCATAGGTACCAGCTTCGGGTATCCGAACAAGTTAGATCAACTGGAGAATTCTATACGTACGAATGCGCAAATCACTCAAGGCATCGCAGATCTTGCTAGGAATCAGTTCTCGAGTCTACTGGCCACTACGCTATCGGCAGACCTACGAGGAGACCTCGGAAGAGTCAGAGAGTCGCTAAAGCATTTCGTGCGAGATTGGAGCGACGAGGGAAGGGAGGAACGTGCGAGGATATTCTCTCCGATCTTGGACGTCTTAAAGGAGGTACAGCCTGCGCGGCGTGCGTCGATGCGAGTACTCGTCCCAGGATCTGGCCTCGGGAGATTGGCTTGGGAGATCTCTGAGCTCGGTACGTTTCATGTTTCCTGAGGTTTATGCAGCGATTCTCAGATCCATGAGTAGGGTATCATACAACAGCAAATGAGCTATCATTCTTCATGAACATCGCATTTCGGTTCCTACTCTCAGAAGAGACGACGCAGACTCCACATCAGCACGTCCTGCAGCCGTATTCGCACTGGTTCTCTCACCAGCGTACCAGGGAGGCTTTATTTCGACATGTCACATTTCCTGACGTCGTACCGCGGCTCGCTAGTGCAAGCCTCTCATCCAATCTACATATCGAGGAGCAAGATTTCCTTTCGCTCCGCATATCACCAGACTATGACTACATAAGCACCCTCTTCTTCCTCGACACCTCTCTCAATGTCATCGAGACCATTGAACGCATATATGCACTTCTTAGGCCAGGAGGAATGTGGATAAATCTTGGACCGCTCTTGTGGACCGGTGGGGGACTGGCCGGGGTTGAACTAAGCTTGGAGGAAGTTCTCCGCCTTGTGGAATTAGTTGGTTTTAAGTTATACGAGGAGCATGACCAACGCCACAAGACGATGCGTAGAACCATTGAGTGTGAGTACACCGCCGACCGAGAGGCAATGATGCGATGGTTGTATCAGGCGGAGTTTTGGGTGGCAGTGAAGCCAGGGTGTTGAGTAAGGTGTGTCTTGTTGCCACTTCGGCTCTGATAAATACTTGATGAAATTCAGACATTTGGAATGTGCATGGACCATGTGTGGCGTGATTCCTGAACAATGAATGCTTTGTAGCAACGTGCGGATGTGGCCATGCCACAGGTCAAAGCGGCAGTCGGCACGCCGCCACAGCAGGACAATCCATAAAGCATAAATTGGTTTAGAGGTTTGCAGCGGCTCATTACATTTGCCTCCCTTCGACTGCTGCTATGTGTGCTCTCTATGAACCGCTCCACATCTCCGTGATCAACGAACTCCAAGACGTTGATATGGAGTCCGAGATGGTGTCTGAGCTTATGCACGAGCCGCTCACTATCAGACTCCCGGCAAATAGAGCAAAGCGGCGTGCAGATACAGATGCGAGGGATGTAGATGGTGGGTATGGGTCAACGAGTGGGTCCGTTTCCTCACCACTTCATCCCTTGGCGTCGCCCATCACACCTCCACGATCTTCGGGGTCAAGTCCAACTTCCGAGAATAATTACAGCACATCACCTAGTCCCAATCGCCGGATATCCTCGTCTCCACGGAGTGTCCGCCGTGGACGGTCATCTGGAGCTTCCCAGCCACCTCGTCTTCGCGAGATTTATCAGAGTGTCAGCTGCATGTCCGGCTATGCAGGCTATAGCTTTGAGGTAAGTCCTGAGTGAGCATCGTCATTTGTACAGTATTTTTACTTATGGTATGGGCAGGAAATTCGCGTTGGAAACTACATAGCGAGTTACATGGCGAAGAATCAGCCACCCCAACCTGTGGCGGAAGGCGCACGCAGTTGCAGTATTTTAGAGCCAATTTTTCGACCGTCTGTGCTGGATGTGCAGCATGACAAGGATCCGGATGCCACAATGTCTATGTCGGACTCGGTGAGTGAAATTCGAATATAATTGGTCTTATCTTATAAGAAACCATATATTTCCATAGCAGCCCGCATTCACCTTCACATTCTCAGTGTGATGACGGTATCTTCCTAGTTGGCCCCGCGCTTTGTACCTTCCTCATCGTAATTGAATCACATGCTCATCAGATTGGCCGTCTCAAGTGGCTCTGTTGTGACTTGACTCTGTGATTTAAATTCTGTGCTTGCTACTAGCTTCCATTTAAGAGCGCAAATGCGCTGAGTCCAATCTGCACACCGGGATACCCATATTGTGAACGCTGTACATGCGCCATCAAATATCATCGTGTGACCGTGACGCTTGATGTGATTCACGTTTGAGTGTTTTTCATTGAGCTTTTCTAGATGTAAATTTGCTCCAAAAGCTAGCGAACATGACATCCAGGTCCAGGATACATAATATGTACTATGTACTCACTGGCAGTTTGCTATCCATTCGCCCATTTGTCCTGGCAGTCTCACGAAACACATTCTATGGTTAGGGTTGTCTCAGCTATTGCAACAAATTCAAGTCTCGACTATGCTGGCCTGATTTCAGGAATGTTAGAGAATGCTATAGCCTATAGGTGCTTCTAAGCTACCATAATTATTATTTCGTGGGCGTTCCCGTTATGGACCTTACAATATCAGGGCGTGTGTTATATCGCCATCAACGACGCTGTGCGTCGTGTTCGCAGTTACCGTCCGAGCTGTGTTCTACGCATCTTCCACCATCATGTCTGCCCGACGCCAGTCGTCGACGACATCTCTCTCAAAATACGCACGAGCCAATTCGCCTGATGCGTCTGACAGGTCTCTTGACTTTTGCAACGCATTCTGGGGCCTGGGTGATGGCGGTGTCGATGTCCTGTTTGCCCGAATGCGCGGCGCGATGAGGACGATAGAGGAGCTCAGGAACTTCTGGAAGGAGAGGTAAGTACATTCACATCGTACTCTCGTCTGGTCTAACTATGCCCTAGGGCTTCAATTGAGGAGCAATACGCGAAACGATTGGCAAACCTGGCCAAGTCAACACTGGGCAGAGATGAAATTGGGTGATTACACTGTTCTTTCTATCTGCAATATGTGTTCATAGACTGGTGTAGAGATCTGCGTGCATCACTGGATACACTTCGCCAGGAGACCGAGAAGCAGTCTGGGTTCCACATGATGGTCGCTCAGCAGATTAAGACGGACCTTGAAGGCCAGACAGCTATTTTCCTGAGCAGACAACAACATCACAAGAAAACGTTTCAGGCTACGATTGAAAAAGACTTCAAGACGAAGCAGACGCATGAGTCGTATGTGAACAAGGCACGAGAGAAGTACGAATCAGACTGTGTGCGAATCAACTCGTACACCGCCCAGTGTACTCTGATGCAAGGCAAGGATCTCGAGAAGATTCAACTTAAACTCGAGCGTGCCCAGCAGACGGTGCAAGCGAACGAGCGGGATTTTGCCAAGTTTGCTCGTATACTGCAGGAGACGGCACAAAAATGGGAGCTCGATTGGAAGGCATTCTGTGACAGTTGCCAGGACATGGAAGAGGAACGCATGGAGTTCATGAAAGACAACATGTGGGCCTTTGCCAATGCTGTGTCGACTGTATGTGTCGCAGACGATGAGGTAGGCGCTTAGTCATGACCGTTGAACATTGACTTACCTTTTGTCGTAGTCATGCGAGAAGTTGCGTCTGTCGCTAGAGCAAATAGAACCCGAGCGCGACATGGAGAACTTCGTCCGCGATTATGGCACAGGCAGTTCAATCCCCGATCCTCCCGCGTTCGTCAATTACGCCAACCCAGAGGCCGTGCCCTCTTCTTCTCAGCGGCCGACGACGCACCCGTCCAACTTTGCGCGGTCTTCCCAGCGCGCACGCCAGGTCCCTGCTACGCCTCTACCACAGGATGAAGACGAAGAGCCAAGAGCTAATATGGCAGGGATCGGAATGGCCGGCGGGCGGCGCAGTGATGCACCG